TAACCAAAACTGTAAGTGAGAGTACATTCCTGCAGGTTGAGGGAATCCCTTGGGCCTCCCAGGTCACCAGAACTAGTGTCCCCATTGGAAGATTTCTCCTCCATTACCTTTCCGGAGACAACCCAAAATTTTAGATATCTTTTACTTTCACTTTCAATGATAATGGTAAACAGGGAGAGAGGGTGAATATACTTAACGGGGTCACAGACAGCAATAAAAACCTAGTAATTATTGTAATACCTTTTGCCTTTTGTTATACTTTAATACTTACCTATACAGTGCACTTGATGGTTTTTATTAGAAAAAAGTAAGACATTTTTAAAACTTTTATGTTTGGCATGGCAGCCTGTGGGCTGGAAGTGGCCCTTTGCTTGCTTCTCTCCAGCCCTTGGGGCATTATTCCTCCCACTGTCAGCAACAGTGTGGTATAGTTCCTGGTACTGACACCAACAATAGGGCACTATTCCTGCCACTGAAACCAATGAGGGGGCAGTATTCCTCCCATTGATACCAATGGTGGGACACTATTCCTCCCCCTAATAGCAATGGTGGGGCACTATTACTCCCCCTAATACCAATGATAGGGCATTGTTTACTCTCACTGACTCAAGGATATTTTATTCTCCCACTGGCCACAGTCCAGCCCCCCTGAAGTTTGAAGTACAGTAAACTGGCCCTTTGTTTAGAAAGTTTGGAGACCACCTGATTGAAGGTATGGCAGATGTTTGATGTATTAAGACAATTGTTTCTTTCTGTCAATAACCAACATAAATAGTATCACCTCTAGAAATATCTGCCCAAAATAAGACAAAAGTTGTAAAATATATTCTAATCCAATTTACTGTAGAATTGTGTTATACACATTCTTGCCTTGGAAAGACTTAAAGTGTTACTAAACCCAGGACCACATCACTGTATCTGGTCTCCCACAGTACAAAGAACACAGAAATGCAATAATTTTCATAAATATAAACTGCTAAATACCTTTTCTCATCAGCAGTTAGAGAAGTCTATCAGTGTCCAGCAGAGCACGTTAAAGCTTGTAGGTTGAGTTTTCATTTTGTTCTAGGAAGATGCAGAACCCCTGACCTCTGTCTGGAGAGTGCTGATCAGAATCACTCTCCCAAGAAAAAAATAAACTCTAGCAATACACACCAAACTGAGCATGTGCAAAGTGACTCCACATAATATGTCTTATTAAGAGATAAGAGGGGGAACACTGGAAGAAGGGGGCGATCAGAGAAGTCAGGATCAAACAGTGTTTTTATACAATGCAGAGGATTAACCCATTTGGTTCCACAGTGAGTATAACAAGCATGCTTTACTTCATATACAGACTGATTTTACTGTTGTGGGTTTAGTAACACTTTAATAAATGAAAACATAAATATCTGCAGGGAAGTCTTCCTGTCAACACTGAGATGAAATGATGTGAAGAAATCACACAATGACAGGCTGGGAGGATGACACATTTTACAGCACCAGCAGATTAGGTTTGACCCGTATTTTACATTTGCACATGTGTGAACAGAGCCTTCCAATAGCTCATTCACATCTCTATCCGCTATCCATTGAAGAATTTTGGCAGCATGAACTATGTGGGCTCTTTTGCAAATGTACTTGTAACACTGCCAGTAGTGATGTTCCTGTTTACCAGTCTAGTCTCTGCTTGTTCTTGTATTAAACCTGCATGGCTTCCGCGATCATTGCTTGCAATACAATCTCAGTTTCCACAGAGAGCAGTTACAACTGTACTGTTCAATGTGGTGCACTGTATTTTTTTAATTCATGTTTTGTAGAACTGCAGTCTCCCATTAAATAAAAAATATTTGTAGCAGCACCTTATTTTAAATGCATCTGCTCTTACAGTTTCCTTTTAGCCCCCTGCAAAGTCCTAGAAGTAACTATTGATCCTGCCAGTAAAGTCCACCTAATGCAGCTTCCTGTGATGGTATAGCAATAATGGTGCACTGCTTCTGAATTCAGAGCAAAGTTGCCATTTTCAAAAAGGTTGTGCCTGCATACACTAGTGGGATAAAAATATTTGCAGGGAGTATGATTCTTAGCATTGGCACCAGGGGCATATCTGCCACGAGGCAAACAAGGCGTTTGCCTAGGGCAGCATTTTTCAGGGGGGCAGCATTGCCCCCAGGAAGAAGGGACATGGGACCAGGGCTTGGCAGGGCGGTAGGGCTCGAGCGGGAGGGAAGCAGGGGAGCACCTGCCCTGGGCAATGTGTTGTCCCATGGCGAGGGAATGAATGACAGGAGTAATGCTGCCACCATTACTTCTGTCATTCAGCTAGGGAATTGCACAACAATGGCTGGAACAGCTACTGGTGGAGTGGATTCTGCTCTCTCCTTCCTCCAGCAGCTGTCTGATGTGGATGGAAGAGACTGGGCAGAATGGCACCACATTCACCTCCTTCCTGGAGAAAGAAGATGTGAAGGTGGCCGGGACCCACTGGTGGAGGTAGGCGGGACACACTGGAGCTGGGCAGGACTCACTGGTGAAGGTAGGCAGGACACACTGGAGCTAGGCGGGACCCACTGGGGGTGGTACGAGGGACACACTGGAGATGGAGGAGGCACACTGTTGGAGGTCCTCGGGACCAGCTGGTGAAGGTGGGCAGGACCCACCGGTTCCAAGTCACTTGTGATGTCACTTCTAGGAGGACAGAGGGATCTGAAGGCTCTCTCAGCAGATGGAGACACACGTGGAAAGGAGTGTGCTTGAGATTTTCTTTTTTTTTGTTTTAGTGCTCTTCCAAACCTGTTGTACTGCCTAGTCCCTCTGAAAAGTGAATCTTGGTTGATCATCAGAGGGTTGTATAACAGTGGTTGACAGATGTTCAAAAGGTGGAACTGCTACCTCCTGAATACCTGCTTTTTAAAATCTTTTTTTCTAATGCCAAATGGCAATTTTACATTGTGGAACTGTATCTTCCATACCCTGTTCGCAGTCTCCCGTATCCAGTCCACAATCTCTGACTGTCTCCTGTAGTATGTCCAGTCTCTGACCATCTCCAGTACTATGTGTCTGCTGTCTCTGACCATCTCCTGTAGTAGGTCTGCAGTCTCTGACCATCTCCTGTAGTAGGTCTGCAGTCTCTGACCAACTCCTGAGACAGATCCTAAAGAGGAAGGGGTGGAGTTTACAGATTAAGGGGTGGATCCTAAACAGGAAGGGATGGGACAAATTTAGATGGGGGGGCACCCAATTTTAGTCTTTGCCTAGGGCAGTACAAAACCAAAATACACCACTGATTGGCACTGCTGATTTACAAGCCTAGAGCTTGTCAATCAGCAACTGGCCACACCTAGTCCTGCCTACTGCTTTCTGGATTGACAGCTCCAACTCTGCTGCTAGAAACCTCCCACTGTGAGCTGCAGTGTCTGAGAGGGGGAATATGTGAGACACAAATGAGTATTATCTAGTTGTGGAAGATAATGGAAGATTTTTTTTTTACTTTATGAGGCTTGTGCATTGCATACTGACTGTTTTTTTGTTGTCATACACAAGTCTTTAGTTGTAGTTTGAGGTTTTTACAGAAAGTATAGTAGAACAAGCAGCAATTTACTGTAGTTAAAATACCAATACCCAGTGTTACACTCATGTTCATAATGTGCACAAACATCAGCAAGATCTTTACACGAGGGAGCTACACAAATTCTCTGACTAGTACAACAGAACAAACAAGTACAGGAAGTGTTGTGAAGTCAGGAGAGAAATTATCATGACAACATAACAAATCTACCAGAATAGCATGTTATGAAATTTGCATAACATGGAACAGTGAGAACTTGTGAAAAAAAAACTATATATATATTTAAAAAAAAAAGAGAACAAGGCAAACAAAAAAGGGTGAGGAAGATGGCAAATATTAGCTACTATTACAATGTCTTGTTAGGAAAAAAAAACCTGGGTTCTTACCCTCTCCTACTGTGATAAAAAAAAAAAAAACTAAAAAAAAATAGTCACAGATCAGCAGCAAAGCTGGTCTGAAAATCTATGTAGTTATATTCACCATGCAATCTCTCTTACATTGTACTGAATCCTGCTATGATCCATAACAATAAGAGGTAAAGTTGTGTCCAGGTTCCATCCGCTGAGCTACACTGCCAGTTGTTGCCCAGGCCTTCATAAACCTCACTGGGTAGCAGTGTTAAGGCCAACAGCCAAGAGTAATAGGTTCATTTCCTAGTCCAACCTTACAGTCTATGTTAGATCCTGTGGTCATGCATACCAGCGTAATTTGGTGAAGAACAATATGTGGACTTTCTTTTATGTTAATTGTTCTTACATTGGACTTTTTAATATGTGTATTTATGCATTAGGCATTAGGTAGCGTTCATAATTTACTCTGCATATACACAGTAAAGCACAAATGTGGTGCTGGGTCAATTTATCTTGTGTTGTTTTAGAATATGTAAGTGCGTGGTATAGATGGGTCGAAAAACCGGCCGTTTTTTAACCTCCCTAGCAGTCTGATTATGTCCATATTTCTGTGCTCAAAGCGCTAAATTTTTTTGCATGGAAATATGTAGTTTTTTTTTATTGTAGGCTGTAATTTTTAGGAATAACTCACTGAAATCTGTCCGAACAAGAGTCTAGTAAACATCCCGGGTAGGATAAAACTTGAAACACAAAATCATAAATGATAATTTAATAATTATAAAAAAAATACTAATATAATAATAATACATTTAATTCAATAATATAATCAAACCAAAAAACACTGAAATTTTAAATATAGCAGTTCGCACATCACTGAGCAAAGTCACAAAATTGTTTTCTGTGTCTGATGACGAATTTCCCCACGAATCATTATCACTCAATTCTGCAAGTGGTTCTGATTTACTATCGCTGTTCTCTAGCTGGTCTAAAACCGATTTTGACCTAAAGGGACGCTTTTTGAACGCCATGGACGTTTCTCAGTTTCCAGGCAGAAAGAACAGTAAAAATGCAGGCAGGGCACAGGACAAAGCACTAGGGACAAAATGTATGTGAAATGGTTTGATACAGCAATGTTTTACTATGTGGTTTTAGTGATTTTAATGAATGTCACTTTTTGTCATTTTAAAATTTCCTGCTGTTCCGTCCCCGTACATCCTGAAGCTCGCAGGGGATGGAACCCAGATGACAGATGCCGGCATTACATTGCCAGGGACACTGCAGGAGGGACATCGTGGGAGAGCAGGACAAGGTAAGTGATCGAGGGATCCCGGAGCAGCGCCGCATGGTAAGCCCGAGTGTAGCTCAGGGTTACCACTTGTGGTACTGATACTTTACCCCGAGCTACACTCGGGAATACCGCTAGGGAGGTTAAAAAAAAAAACGAAAAATCGGTAGTTCAATAGGCCGACGTTACCACCAACGATAGAAGAAATCGGCCGATTTTCGTCCCGTCTACGGACGGTATTTAATTACTTCTGTCCCTGCAGAGAGCTCCTCTATTATATTTGACATGAAAAAGTATTGCAGTTGCAACAATGTATCTATTTGTATCCATTTCAGATACAGATGTTTTTATTCGGATACAAATGGATACATTGTTGCAACCGCAATACTTTGTCATGTCAAATATAATAGCGGACTGGAATTCTTCTTTTTTTTCTTCTTGTTTTTCTTCTTGTTTTTCATCTTTTTCTTCTTCTTTTTCTTCTTCTTTTTCTTCTTTTTCTTCTTCTTGCAGGCATGGTTCATGTGCAGATTTTTTATCGGTAAAAAGATTGGCCGATTTGCCCATCATTGCCGGGAAAATCGTCCGATCGCCGAAAATCGGACGATTTTTTCCTACTTCACGATAAAAAAAATGTTCCAAAACCCCGAAAAACGGCCGACCAATTAACCCATTAACGGTGCGAAAATCGGCCGATTTTCGATCCGTCTATAGCCTGCATTATACACCCTGGCAGCAGCATGATCTTTTTTGCTTTTTCATGTAAAATCATACACAGGTGTGTGCAAGGGTTTTTTTTTATTTCATTATGATTTCTGCATATGATATGTAAATTAAATTGCTATAGAAAAGTTAAAAAAACAAGGCATACCATGTCACCAGAGCCTTTTAAACAGTATGAGCAGTCAATGGGTTAGTTAGGTGTACAAGTCCAAACCAGTGACAGTTTATAGGAGGTTTGCTTAATATTACATATTTTCCCAGTGGCCCGTGGTATTTTAAAAAAAGAATACTGGATAAATGTAAGGGTGAATAAAAAGTGGTAATGCTTTCCCTCTGGGATCACATTGGTATTTAACTTCAATATAGTAAAAAAAAAATGAGAGCCAGAGCTGTCTTGGGGAGTTCAGATAAAGTTTATGAGCTTGATAATAGAATACAATCAGTAGCAAGAATCTGAAAGAAAATCAGCTTTTCCATGTACATAATTGGCATTAAGGTGTGCTAAAGTGGTATTCAGGTTTAAAAAGTGTTCCAGAGTGCCAACATTTTCTTATCTTTTATTCCAGATGCATGTTGACTTGTTGTGTTCCTCCTCCCACAATCTTATCTATTTTGGAGAAAACTGAAAAATGTATGATCTTCACCCCAGGGGTTGAGAAAGGACCCTACAAACTTCTGTAAATGGACCTCAAAATCCAAAATAAACACGTACCAATGCTAAGTATCGGCAGACAACAGCATAAAAGCCTTTTCATGCTCTAGGCCACAGGTGTCAAACACAAGGCCTATGGGCCGAATCTGGCCCTCCAGGCCATTTCATGTGGCCCTTGCACCTCTCCTACAGCTATGGTACCCCCCTAGTCTCTGTTTACACCTTGTCTCAGCAGTCTCGGCAGCAGAGAGGAGAATAGAACTCTTCTTCCAGATCCTGCACCTCTCAGTGTAGCTGCAGCACCCCCTCATCTCTGCCTCCCCTGGTCTCAGCATTCAGCAGACTCTGGTAACTGACTCCACTCCTTGTCTGGTCCTCCTCCAGATCCTGCACTTTTTGCTTACCAGCTCTGTTCGCAAAGGGGGGGGGTGCACGCTGATGTTAGGGAGGGTGAGGATTCTTGACATCTGATGTATAGGGGGTGGGGTGCTTTAGTCTTCCAGATACAACCGGCTCTTTGAGGGCAACCATAATGTTGATACGACCTGCGATGAAATGGAGCTTGACATCCCTGCTCTAGGCCTAGCAGAAGAGCTTCATCACTATGGTAGTTTACATCACTGATAATAATAAGTTCCAGGTGGATTCCACACTTTGCTTTCCAAGTAGGAATTAATCCACTTTGTTCAGGCAGTATATTATTTGTACTAACAAAGAGGAAAATATATTTGCTATTTTTGTGAACATCTTAAAGTACTGATTTGAAAAAAATGGATGAATTTTTTTTACAGAGAGTATGTTCCTTTATTTTGGTTTAATTGAGGGAGCTCCAAAAGGATTAAGGATCCTGTCATAATCTTCATCATAGAGCTAAGTATCTATAGCAAGTTTGTCAATGATACGTAAAATCGATTAGCTGAAGGCTCTTTTGAGTTTGAAACGGTTTCAGAGATTCCAACATTTTTTTATGAGAAAGAGGTTTTTTGAGAGAACTTAGAGCAGGATCTTCCAATTGAGGTAGGTCATGTAGGCTGATACATTTATAACTACCAACTGGATTGTTTTCTTAGCAAATGTGTTTACTACTGTATGCTTTCTACTAGAGATGAGCGAATCGAACTTGGCGAAGTGGAATTCGTTTCGAATATTAGGAAAAATTCGATTCGCACCGAATCCGAATTTTAGCAAACTTCGGATGCACGAATCGAATTTTCCCCGATCAGCCGGGCAAAAAAGTGTCACTGCAGAGAGCTCCGCTATTTCTGACAGTTCTCTGACAGTTCCTTCACATTTACAGCGGTTGAAACATTGTATCTATTTGTTTCCATTTAGGATACAGATGTTTTTATTCGGAAACAAATAGATACAATGTTTCAACCGCTGTAAATGTGAAGGAACTGTCAGAGAACTGTCAGAAATAGCGGAGCTCTCTGCAGATACACTTTTTGCTGTACTGGAATTCTTCTTCTTTTCATTCTTCTTCTTCTTTTCATTCTTCTTCTTCTTTTCATTCTTCTTCTTCTTTTCATTCTTCTTCTTCTTCTTTTCATTCTTCTTCTTCTTCTTTTCATTCCTCTTTTCTTCTTTTCATTCTTCTTTTCATTCTTCTTCTTCTTCTTTTCATTCTTCTTCTTCTTCTTTTCATTCTTCTTTTCATTCTTCTTCTTCTTTTCATTCTTCTTTTCATTCTTCTCATTCTTGTTTTCATTCTTCTTTTCATTCTTCTTCTCATTCTTCTTCTTCTTTTCATTCTTCTTCTTCTTCTTTTCATTCTTCTTCTTCTTCTTTTCATTCTTCTTTTCATTCTTCTTCTTCTTCTTTTTCTTCTTCTTCTTCTTTTCATTCTTCTTCTCTTTTCATTCTTCTTTTCATTCTTCTTTTCATGCTTCTTTTCATTCTTCTTTTCATTCTTCTTCTCATTCTTCTTTTCATTCTTCTTCTCATTCTTCTTTTCATTCTTCTTTTTCTTTTCATTCTTCTTCTTCTTCTTTTCATTCTTCTTTTCATTCTTCTTCTTCTTCTTTTCATTCTTCTTCTTTTCATTCTTCTTTTCATTCTTCTTCTTCTTCTTTTCATTCTTCTTCTTTTCATTCTTCTTCTTCTTTTCATTCTTCTTTTCATTCTTCTTCTTCTTCTTTTCATTCTTCTTCTTCTTTTCATTCTTCTTTTCATTCTTCTTCTTTTCATTCTTCTTCTTCTTCTTTTTTTCATTCTTCTTTTCATTCTTCTCATTCTTCTTTTCATTCTTCTTCTTCTTCTTCTTTCATTCTTCATTCTTCTTCTTTTCATTCTTCTTCTTCTTCTTTTCATTCTTCTTTCTTCTTCTTCTTCTTCTTCTTTTTTTCATTCTTCTTCTTTTCATTCTTCTTTTCATTCTTCTTTCTTCTTCTTTTCATTCTTCTTTTCATTCTTCTCATTCTTCTTCTTTTTCATTCTTCTTCTTTTCTTTTTCATTCTCTTTTTCATTCTTCTTTTCATTCTTCTTCTTCTTCTTTTCATTCTTCTTCTTCTTCTTTTCATTCTTCTTCTTCTTTTCATTCTTCTTTTCATTCTTCTTCTTCTTCTTTTCATTCTTCTTCTTCTTCTTTTCATTATTCTTTTCATTCTTCTTCTTCTTCTTTTCATTCTTCTTCTCATTTCTTCTCTTCTTCTTTTCATTCTTCTTTTCATTCTTCTTTTCTCATTTTTTCTTCTTTCTCATTCTTCTTTTCATTCTTCTTCTTTTCATTCTTCTTTTCATTCTTCTCATTCTTCTTTTCATTCTTCTTCTCATTCTTCTTTTTCATTCTTCTTCTTCTTTTCATTCTTCTTCTGCTTCTTTTCATTTCTTCTTTTCATTCTTCTTCTTTTTCATTCTTCTTTTCATTCTTCTTCTTCTCTCTTCGTCGTGCCCCGTGACTGCCCAAAATGAGTGAAGTGTGCGGTGATTCTTAAGATCGACGGCACTCATCTGCATGTCATACTGACTGACAGTATTATTTCTCTTTCCCAGCAGACTCCAAGGGCATTTAAATTAAAGGTTCAGTGTTCTGCACTAATATCTCATCTCTACTTTCTTACCATACACCTTAAAGCCTCCAGTCTTTAGGGATTTTTTTTGGATAGCATGATGGAGGAAAAGCTAACATTTCTGTTCTGTCACATTTTTTGTTTTTGACCGACCTGGGCAGATTCCCTCTCACCTCCTGTTCCTGTGTACATAACTGGACAGGAAAGTACAGACAACAATAAAAACATTGTCCGAAGTTCTAATCCTTCCTCATTCTACTAAAAATGTGTTATTATCTGCATCTCTATTATAGATATTTTCCATTACTCCCTCTCCTTGACATGAGGTAGGTAATAGAAATCATCCCGGCAGATGTGATCCACAATGAGTTTTATTTTTTTTTAGGCCTCATGAACACGGGACAGTTTCAAAAAAATGCTCCTCTGATTGGCAGCAGCATTTTGGCAGAAAAAAATGCCTGACGCTTTTAAAAGTGTCTAACACTTTTACAGGCATTTAGGCTCGTTTACAAGAGTTCATTTCATTGGCCAGAATAATAATTTATTCTGTCCATCATAATGAATAAATGTTCAAATGCGCCTAGCGTTAACAAGCATTTAGGCACGTTTAGGCGTGTCACCATTTTTTTCTGCAAAAAATGCTGCTACTCCTGGGCGCACTGGCAGTGGGTTTTTTTTTTCCTGCTTCTAAACTCTCCTGCCACTAACTGCTGGTAAAAGTCTATGTGTGCATGGACATATAATTTATATTTAATATTGATT